TCAATAAAGTGGGGTAGATTCATATGGTACATGTCTGCACTTTACCAGCCAGATTGACCACGTCTACATAAACGCTGAGGCCTGCTTTGGTAGCAGGATCAAAATTGGGGAAACTAAGACATAGAGGGATACAAAAGGGCTCCAACACAATTACATGAGTCATACGAGCGACTACACTTTCAACCAGAGAAACTGAGAATAGCGATTTTAATCCGGTAAAATGGTGCTTTGTAAAATGAAATTCATATAACTCCATTGCTCACCAATTTTTTGAGGTGAAACCACAAAAAAGTAATAAATTAAATGAAAGCAATGGAAGCCAAATAAGTGGAGAAATTGAGGGTGCAGCAACTACTTTCGGACTAATAGAACTACTTAAGGCAAAATGGCCTTCAAGATTGGCTACGAACCTTCGAGGTCAATGTGAGCATTGAGTTAAACAAATTTAAGCAATTCAAAAAAAACCACAGCGATACTTAGCACGATTTGACAAATGCCTGATATTTATAATAATTAACGTTTGGGGTGTGGGATAGATTTACCTCCACGTGGTGCACCCTGGGCAACGTAAACTCATACGACAAAAAAGTCTACTAACCGGCAGTTGACTTCCCACTTCAAACTACCATGGCTGACTGCTTGACATATTCGACCCCTTCCACAGTACTCATCTTACCCTTTTCTCTACCTTTGTGTCTGTCTCTTTTACATCTATGAAACACTCTTCTGTTCCCCCCCCTGCCTTTGTGCCTGTCTCTTTTACATCTTTGAATCACTCACTTTTTTGTCTGTTCTTTTACATCTTTGAAATTCTCTTGTTCACTTCTTCATCTGAGAATCGCTCTTCAGTTCCCCACCCCTCGAATTTCTTCTACTTTGATAAACCTTCCCTCAGTGAAGCCCGAAGACAGCTAAATGGCTAATGATAGCGAACAAAGCGCTGCCATTTGAAATAAGTAATAATTAACGACAGAATGGTTAATGTTACTCCTCTTGGATGATGCCTATACATTCATCTCTAGAAACAAAAACTTACAGCATTCTCGATGATCTGCTGATCGGAAGCCCGACACCAGGAGTTGAGCACCACGCTATCTTCGCTCTGACCAAGAAGACTGGCCAAACAGACTGCCGTAGTGGATGAAGAATCAGTTAGCGTGAATTCGGCCACTAGCTCACGAAGGAGCACGTTAAATCCACCTTCAAAAGATTATATCGCATTGTAGTGATATATTACTTAAATTGGATTTTTAAGTAGTTATTAATTGTTAAGTAATTGGAGCGCAGCTCAGAGGGTAGCGTAAAACTGCAGGACAGAAATATTTACTAATTGAAGAGATCAAAAAGTGAAATTCCACAGCTTAAAACTAGGTCTGTTGGCTCTATTGGGCATTTAAGTAACTGACAATCGCGCTAGCACTACGGGCCAACTAAAAATGTGATATCTTCTAAGCAGTCGATCGTGAACCAACCTAATTGCATATCCAGCCGAAATTGTAGCCTGAAAGAATCATGTAAAAGTTTCGACGTCAGAGCACGAATTCGGTGTGGACTTAACTGACGTCAAGTACAACAGTTGAAACATGCACTCTATGCAAAGACTAGACTGCAATCTCCATAGTGTCACTGCAATGTGGAGTAAGCAGATAGGGTTGGAAATAGTCCGAAAAACCAACAAAATCGCTGCTTGATCGACAAAATGACAATAAGACATGCCATTGCTTTAGAATCGCAGTCTACCCTCAAGATGCCAATGACTGATCGGAATAAAACGCACTCTGATTCAATAAGTAGTCAGAATCCTAGACGCTACACAATAAAATGTTAATGACGCAGCACGCAAGGAGCACATCTACAAAGTCATCGGGAACATGCAATAATTAGAAACGGCTGATGTTAGTGTAGAGAAGTGAATGCAAGTTGTTCATCAACTAGATTACATGCCATTATATTCCTTTCGATAGATATAGTCAGAAATGCCATCCATTCAGAGTAGAGTTGTAGGAATTGAGCAAATTTTGTACGGGAAAAGAAACAACGTAACGGGGAGATCGAAAACGAGTATTTCAAGGAAGCGAAACGAATTTCGCTGAAGCTGTTATATTGGCAGTTCCTTCTCAAGATAAGGCTTATTTATTATCGTTTACAGGAAGGTTGCTTCAGCAAATAAGTAATCTCCAATCAATTCATTCTTTTGAAAATACCATTTCGTCAAGTTATTACGAAGTAAATTGGTTCCACTCAGATAATGCACACATACCTCTTATCACTTTCCATCAATTAAACGACATGCCAAAGGGGGTAGAGAAATGCCGCAAACTCGTTACATCGTCCAATCATGTCATAAATTGATTAAAACTTAGTGTCAGTAATTTACAAGGAAGACGAGCCATGCTAGATATATAAAACCACTTACGTTTATACATGCCATCCACCCCACCTGAATGAACAGAAATGCATGCTCACTAATCGACAAAAGGCGAAGACATGACGATGACCTCCAGAAAAAATTGTAATTAAAGGAAGTACTTTCACGGTCGGTTTTACGAGATTATGATTGTAAAAGGACAAATGTCAACTTTATATTGATTTTACCTTCCCTTCAAATTTCCACAATTTTGATACGGGATCAATAAGGATAGGGTTAAACCAGTTGTTGTCAGATGCAACATTATTAAGCCAGAGATTATAGACATACGCGATTCCACTTCGAAAAAAAGTAGCATTCGTTTCACCAACAAACAAATTTGGTTCCCAGCCTTGCGAAAACAAAGGCAATCGAGCACTGAAAGGTGAAACACTGCAAAGCTACTTTCTACTTACAAGCTTGATAGGGAAATTTACGATATATTCGTCGTGAAGATACTCGTTTTATCAAATTGTGTCTACTCCTTTAGAGTTCAAATCACTCCAATTGTTAGAAATGAAAAAAAGAACATTTTCAATTTATCGAGCAAAGGAATGTGCGTGATAGACTTACCTCCACGTGGTACACCCTGGGCAACGTGTACTCATACAGCAAAGAGTCTATTAACCGGCAGTTGACTTCTCACTTCAAACTACTATGACCCACATTGTATGTCATATTCTACTTTCACAGTACCCACCTAACCTTTTCCCTGCCTTTGTGTCTGTCTGTCTATCTTACATCTGTGAATTACTTTTCTATACCTCCCTCTCGAAATTTTGTCACTTTGATGTCCCTCCTTTCTGTGAAGCCCGAATTCAGCTAAAGTTATAATGATGGCTATCAAAACGCCTGAGAATTGATATAAATAAGATTAATCGAGCAAAAGGATCACAGACGTGATAGTATTAAATACATAGAACACGTGATGTCTGAGACATTACAAGTTGGCAAGGTTTATGTAAACGAGGCAAGAAAACAGACGTCATCAAAAAGATGAATTTAACATATAAATCCTGAGTGAGCATGTGAGGGAAAGTCAAAATAATGTCTTGAAGTATGACTCGCCTAGTGTTTCGAGAGTTATTCTCCAATCACATTTTGCGAAAACAGGTTGGCTTTTCCTTCACGAAATCGACGCGATGCTTTTATGACCCTAAGGCAATTTCCAAACGAGTTTATCGATTTGCTCTTCTTCTAAAACTGTTCTAACTCCTCCCTCCCTCTCGTCATCCCTCTCCTCCTATCTCAAATGGTCACCGCGATTAATTGAATACATCCAGACCAACACGAATCTATGTGACTCATTTTTGGAAGTGTCATCTGTGACTCTAAGCCCAACAATACACCTTAGTCTTAGGTCATAAAAAAAACTGAAATTTGGAAAGGAGAGCTAAGCATGTTTTTTTGATATCAATTTCATTAAGTTCAAGTAAATTGAAGAAACCACATTAGCATTTAAATCCCGAATTCACTATTAGATAATTGCCAACAATCAACCAGGTAAAGGTGGAGTCAAGCAGAAGAAGGGTCAGAAGAACTAGAAGGATGTTCTAACGCAAGATGATTGAGAACAAGAAGATCATAAATCAGTGTGACTTAAAAGGGGTAATTCGCGTAACCTTTCAACGGAATCACTGATGTCTAAACTGATCACCAGCCCATCACGGCATTTTTAGCGACTATTTTATTACACTCATTTGGGGGAGAGATGGCGTCATAAGAGCCTCCCTATCATGAGAGGCTTCTATCTCCAATTACTAACCAGACTTAACAGCATGCCAGTTGGTTAATCCGATAACCGTAAACAATTGCTATGCCGACATGTATGTTGACCTCTACGCCAAGGGGCCTCGTAAATGTCATCAACCCATTTACTACCTCTTCTCCCAGTAAACATTGGCGCACCCATCCCCTCTTATTATTCGGTGAATAGAATCGAGTCTATTGGTATCTGCACTATTCTCGTGTGTGTGTGCGTGTGTGTGTATGTGTGTGTGTAGTGAGGGAGGTCACCATTGAAAGAATTGGCAATTTTCCATCATTGTGCACTTAAAAATCCTAAAATATACCAATGGTAATTTTTTAAATTGGGGTTTAGTTGGGCACACTAGTTGAATAAGTTTGATGACAAAGGGAAATCAATCGCATAATTATCAAAGCTTCTTAAAAAAGGGATGTCACTTAGTAAAATCATAATAGACATTAGAACCTAAATTTGGCGCTAGAAGGAGGCTCTCTCAAAATAACGCTGAGCAAAAAATCAATTAATTTTGAGGTGTCAGGCCGACAAATATGAAGAAATTGTGGAAAGTACTTGAGGAGGGAAACATTGGGGAACACTTTCCAAAACTTCCAGTTATCTGAAGACAATTGACACAAATAGAAGTAAAAGGGAAATTCACAAAATGGCTTTAATCCTGAATATTTAAACCACTTTCAAGTAATAACAAAATCCTTGAATATTAAAACCTCCAACTCGAAAATTTTTGTGAAAGTCGTCCCTTACCAATAATGGTGATAATTCCATTTATAGCTTCAATGTCTGTGATACTTATGGACCCGAAATCTCATATCTCACTACAAAATTAAAAATGGCAACACTCCGCTCCCAACATGCAAAATGAAGTGGAGTTGAATAAACTTATGAGCAAAGAGATGGCACCAGTCCAAAATGGCAATTGAGGTGAGCCAATCAGAGGGGCAGATAAGAGAGAGCAGCCAATCAGAGGGACAGATAAGAGAGAGAGAGCAGCCAATAGGAGTGGCAGATAAGAGGGCAAATGAAAAAGACCACAAGTCATTCGATTTTTCGGTTGATAAAACACTGCCAAAACTGGGGCAGAAATAAAAATAGACTGCATTTAATTAGAAGAGCTAACAAATTGGAAGCAAAAATCGTAAGCAATATCTCAGTGAAAACAGTGGTGCAGAAAAGCAATTTCTAACCTTTGGGCATTGATGTACTAAGCATGTACCAAAATATGAGCCGATATTGCTTCCAAAGTGCGCTAAATTTCGTAGGGAGAAGCGGAAATTATAAATATCTTCAGATTAATTACCAAAACGTTTACCTAATAAAGATTTCATTATAAATTGTAGAGATTCTGCCAAGTTTCTTCTACTCTATCAACAACCACAGCACAAAGAAAACTGCAATTACGTTCTTATTGACATTCTTTAAAGTGTGGTAGGAAAGTTAGGTATTAAAGGAAACCCGTTAAGAAGCTAAAGCTGACAAAGCGGAGAATTATTTGAGCATTGTCGAACATCTGGAAGGCTTGGAGTTACTCATTTAGGCAAAAAAAATATGGATTAAAGAAAGAGGAGGGAAGGAGATAGGACAAGGGTGTTAGAACTTTTAACTTCGGAGATCGAATTAGCATTGATCAGAATAGAAATTCAAAATACCTAAATCACATATGCGCTAGTGAAATATCAAAAGGATTATTCGAGACAGAAAGTAGTCAGTGGGGTTTTTTAAAGCAGACTAGATGATGAAGAAAGTGCATAAACTTTGTTAACTCTAAAATAAGAGAGAGTAACCAACTTGAATATGACGTAGGAGGTAGAAGAGTGAGGCAACGGTAGAGTCTCAGACGTAAGAGAGATGCTGGTGCAGACAAATGACTGCCATAAGCCTTAACAATATCTGGCATTATTCCAAGAAAATTTAGAGCGCATTCCAGCGGGGGTAAGAGACGACGTGCAACATTTTCCTTGACCATTGATGGTGCACAGTACTGTAGAAAAGCCTGCATCGAGCACAATGCTCCAGCGCGAGCTTCAATCGTTACCTGCAAAAGGGAGAATGAAGCAATCACCCCCGAATCCACCTACATGGAATAAATCAATAACATTTTGGCTATAAGTTTAGGCGTTTTGATGAGATTAATACCCACAAAAATTAATGCCAGATAGACGACTTATAGGATGTTTCGCGCATTGGCATTAAAGACGGCAAAACAACTAGCAAAATATAAAACTGAGGAATTTGGTTTCAATGCATTGCTACGATTACCATATATGATGTTGACGAAATAAGAGCAAAATATGAGGTGCTCTGAAAGCGGCATTAAATGCTGAATCGCGAAAATGGGATGCGTCTGAGTATTCAGAAATGAATTTTGGGCTCGCATTTATCACAGTGCAGGAAGCAATATTAAATGTGAATCGATTTAGAAGTAACGTGACACACAGATAATAAATATTTCGAAAGTCATTCAGCAAAGCGAAAAAACAGGAATTACCAAACACTTTTAGTGAACCATTAGTGGTAAGGATGACATAAAATAACTCCTGGTTGGACATTTTCGTTCACCTTATATAAAATTACAAAAGTGAGGTGTGCAATAGACTTACCTCCAAGCGGTGCACACTGGGTAACGTATACTCATACGGCAAAAAGGTCTATTAACCGGCAATTGACTTCAAACTACCAAGGCCCCCCTGTATGACATATTCGACCACTTCCACAGTACTGCATCACATTTTTTCTAAATTTTCAACCTTCGTCTTTAAAACACTCTTCAGTTCCCCTCCTCTCGACCTTTTGTCACTTTGATGTTCCTCCTCCTCCTCTCTGTGAAGCCCGAAGTCAGCTAAAGGGCTAGTGATAACCACCAAAACGCCTTCCATTTGATATAAATAAAATTACAAACGCATATACATACGCACAAACATTCATGATAAATTGCATTTTCTGAGAAACGAACAAAAACTGTTGGAAGGGTCAATTGGAAATACCCACGTAGGGATTTGGGTGGGAAAATGTTTCTTTCTCTTTATTTTTGAGAAAGGAATTGTTAA